CGAACATTTCCTCAATAGTGTTTTAATCTATCAACTAATTGAAATCTGTTATGTAGTACCACGTTTATTTTACTTTACAATTTGAATGGGAGGTGTGTGTTTTGTGGTAGATAATCAGTAGAAATTGAAGGATTCTATTTCAGCTTGTTGTTGGTCATCATGTGCATGCTTCCAAATAAATATATCTTTTCGCTTGTAGGTAAAGTGGGCGTATGCTATAATGATCTCTGAATTATGAGGAAATAAAGGTAGTTTCATCTCCCATATTATATGGTTTGCTGCTGCTGTTTTGTGGATATACAGGGTTGACATGTAATGAATCAATTACAAGTAAAATAGGGTGCTAGTGACTTATATGAATTACAGTTATGCTGATTTGTCAGTGTCAGTGTCAGTGTCAGTGTCAGTGTTCTTAATTTTACTGTAAGTTCTGTTTCAAATATGAACTGTATATTTACCCGCCATTACTATCCCATAGTTATTCTTCGCCATATACTTCCATTTATTAGTTGATTTGATTGTTTTATTAAATAGAAATGAGTTTGATCAAATTCTTTATAGGAATTTATGATAGCCCCTTATACTTGTTCATATCTATCCATGTTTGTTTAAGGGAAGTTTGTAAGAAGCGTTGCATGATATTCCCTTGGTTGTTTGTGAATTACTGAGACCATAAAACAATACATTTGGAAATGTATAGGAATGCTAGAGCTAGACTGTATCTTTAGTTGACATTAAATCATTGAGTAGTGTTGTCTTGCTGTTGTTTTGTTTGAAAAAACCAAAATATTAAGTTCTTTATTGTTACTGTCATAGCGGATGGGTACGTTTATATCATGTGTGATGCTTGAGATAGAACAAACTGAACTTCTCTAGGGATTTTCTATATTGAATTTATTAAAATTAAGGTCCCAGACTTCCATAGACGTCCAAAATAAGTTCCCTAAAACCTCTATTTATCTTATTTGGTTACCATTGCTGTAGTTCTATAACTTACTGCTGAATCCCTCCAATTAGAATTCCCACTTGGGCCTTTTTAGGATGATTTCAAATGTCAAATCTTACAGCTTGGTTCATGCAAGTTGTAATGTTATATTTCACTTGTAATTAGCTCTCTTTCTGAATTCTAAAATTTTCCCTAAATTTTTTGAATTGTCACAGAGGAAATTTGAGTCTTACCCTCCTTCCAACATCGGACTTGCGCCTTTCATTTGTTGGGGATGATGGTCAAACAGAGAGGTTGTTTACCTTAAGCGACAAACCTCAGTGTGCTGTTGTTTCCATCAATGAGATTCCAGCAGACATTTCTGGACGATCTTTCCTTGTGAAAGTGCCAGATGACAAAGCCTTTTACTATTGGTGCTCGGAGAAGTCGAAGCTCTTGGGGGTTGAATTGCTTTCAAAGGTACTTGATGTTCGACTCTTTAATACTCTCACTAACAGTTCTGTGCACATTTCTTTGTTTGTGGAGCCATTTCGATCTAATATTGTGTTCTTTCCTTTAATAGATGAAGGATCTGATCAAGAGAAAACCATCCATGGCTGAATTAACTGGAATCAGCGAGTCAAGACTAGGCTGTTTCGCAACTCAGCTCCGTTCTTATCTCCTGGGAACAACAGTAAATATTCAGACAAGTTGTTCTGGTTCACCTTCACCCGGTGTGCACAATGGGCAATCTTCGTCAACTGCATCAAAATCTTTGCGATCCCGATACACTAGCAGTCAAGCACTCAAGGTGAATGCACTTTATCAAGGTAGCTTAAGTCCAAGATCAAGCTCTTTCAAAGAGGGTTTGACCCGAAATGTATCTTTTCCAAGGACCATTGCCAGGGATATGTTGCGACGGCGTGGAGATAACCATCTATCCGTAGCTGAGAGCCTTTCAATTGCTTCACCTATTACAAACAATTTGTCGAATTGCAGTCAAGCTGAAAATGACAATCTTCCAGATGGCAAGAGTGGTTCGTTCACTCCAAATTTCCATGAATCACTTGGAAAACTTACTGTTCCTCCAACCCCGAGCAGTGTTTCTCGAGTTTCCAACTTAGGCTCTCCTCTCTTTTCTCCTTACTATTGTTGGTGCCCCCCAGGATCATCGACTGTGCAACACTCAGCTGCCTTTCAACTCCCTGCCTCATCAATCGGATCTTTTAAGCTTCCGCCACTCTCGTCAATATTACCAACAAATGTTGCCTCCAGCTCGTTGAAACTAACTCTTCCTCTTGGTCTTCCCGATGTTCCCTCACTTGATTTTCCAGCTTTCCTCCCAGAACCGTTGGTCCGACTGCCCTTGGCAAGTTCACAGCAAATTCCAACCTTCACACCTTTGATTTGTGACCCCATTGTTCACATTCCGGTCATCGATGTTTGCTCTTCAGGACAAGGCTACTTGGTTAGTGCTGGTCCTACAATATCAACCGCAATCCCTCCATTGCGTCCAAACCTTGTGAACCCACTATTACCCGATACTACTGATTCCATGGTGGAGAAAGGTGCAAGAGAAACTCTACGGCTACTCATCAGCAACTCAACTCAGAGCAACCCGCCATTGAGTGATGTACTACCAGCTGTTCTGACTACTACTGATGAGAAAAAAGGTATCCTTGTTACAGGAAGCCGGGGTCTATACAGCGAAACTAGAGACGTTAACGTCATTACCACCGGCATCGCCAGTATTAGTTTTGCTACACTTTCTTCAACCTCCAAGACAGACAGCCTTATAAGACAATGTAGCAGCATCCTGGATAATCCCGATACGATGAAGCCAATAGGATCTATTGGCTCGGAAAGTTCTTGTTCAAGCAGTGATGGCAGTACTGCTAAACTTTTGGACTCGAAAGAAGCTAATCAGTGATACAAACACCTGACAAGAATATAAAACATGATTAAAATCTTCAATAGCTCTACCCATCATTTGCACGGCTTCCTTCAATCGACTCTAGAGTTCAGCAATTCGTAACTCAGCTTCATTTCTTTCACCAAGTACATCATTGTACTTCGTCCCCACTGTATTCAACTGTTTAGTTCATTATTTTCAGCAAGCAAATCTTTGAAACTCATCTCCATGGTTTTCAACGATTTCTTCATCTTGGCTCGAGTGACAGCCTGCAAAAGAAAAACAGACTTCAAGAACAACTACGATAAGATATTATAAATCCTTTTGCTCTTCATTCAGTTTCAATTAGAAATGGACTATTGAGATATAAGGGATCCAATAGAATTGTTACATGACCATCATGAGGGAGGTCATTCATGCATACTAATAGGTGATACTGTGAAGAAAAAAGAAAAGCATTGGGATGGGGTTTTTTTTGGCCTATTTTTTTCTCTCGGAAGTTGGAACTACTCACAGAAATAGGGTTTCTTTAATATAGTGCAGGGCGAAGGAATATTTAACTCTTCACTAATGCCATAATCGAATGGCCATACTTTCATCCTAAAGAAAACAGTTTTAATCCTCCACTGACTTTGTCTTGGTTTAACATCCAAATAAGTCCTTGGATAAATAATTTAAATGGTCCTCCACTAACCATCTTTTGACCACATTTACATCCTATTTTTATCAAATTATAAATTATATGATTATTAAATTATATATAGAATAAAAAATTCATATTTTGATCATATTGAATCTTTGGCCCTACTTGATAAACATAATTTGAGCCAAATTTAAAGGATTGGACCACTTTTAGAGTATTTTAACCAATCAAATCTACTAATTTGATTGGGTGAATCCTCTAAAAATGGTTATAAAATCCTTTAAAATTAAATAAGATGCTAAACTTTTATCCTTGATAATTAAAAAAGGATTCTCCAAATTTATATTAGTGTGCATTATATTTGTTTTATAATCACAAATTTATATTAATACCCGTCGTTAAAAATTTAATAAGTTTAGTATTTAAACTATTGGTTTTCATATGTTTTAGTGCCTAACTTTCAATTTTTACAAAATTTAATATTAAATTTTGAATGAGATACTAAAATGAAATAAAAAAACTTAAGTTTTTAACGACATGTATTAAAATGAAACAAAAACTAAATTTTAAGTATGATTTCAAAAAATTAAAAGTTTAGATACTAAAATAGATCAAAACTAATAGTATATATACTAAACACATAATTTACCCCCATTATCTATTATCACTAATATTTTCTTTCCTTTTCTCGGTCCCAAACAAACAGAAACAAAAAAAAAAACCACACTTCATTATCACCGCCCCTGCCCACCGTGACGTGGCTTTTTCCGTTTTAATGGGGCCCACGTGACTAGGAAAATAATAGGCTGACGTGCTCTTTTAAACAAAAAACGAAGGTTTAATTATGGTTGTAGTCCCCCTATTAGGTTAAATTTTGGAATCTAATACCTTTAGTTGAAATTGGTAAATATCTATAGTGGTTTAAAGTGACGACGTGAAATTCTATTTACTATAATATTTGGTTAAGATTAATTAATTAATTTTAATTAACCATGGTCATATGTACACCCAGGGATGGAGTCAAAATTAAATATTGACAGAGGCCGAAATATTAGACTATTTAAGAAAAATATAAAGACTTATTAGGTATTTAAACTCGAAACTCATCATGAACAAGCGAACTTAGTGATTAAGAGAATTGTTGTTATCCTTGAGGTCCCAAGTTCAAGCACTGCATATGTAGGGGTATGAGCGTTCATTATCAAATAGTTGAAATCGGGCCATTTCAGATCACTAGTTTGGTTTATTTTGAGTTCGAGTCATTATATGTTTATATCATTTCGGATTTAGAACATTCCTAGGTTCAATTGATTTAATTTTCAATACCAAATCGAGCCGAGTCAGATTTGAATTGAGGTTTAAAATTAAAAGTTCTGAAAGATGGATGTCCAAAACATAGACACTAAACGAACACGAGCACATTATTCCTTTTAAATAAACAGAAACAAACATAATTTTAATTTTTTTAACAAATATGAACAAAACACGAACATAAGTCTATTCATTTAAGTTTAGTTCATTTACGTCCCTATTTCAATGGCACATTGGATCCTATTAATGCAGGATTTATAGAGAAACCCTAAATAATCAATGATGCTATCCTCAATTGTACCTTCTAAAGGGTCTATCTCAAATGACCAATTGACCAACGTTGAGCCATCTCCATAATCCATAAGTTTCAAAGAATTCACAGATCCATCTAATCCCACGTTGCTTGCTTCCATCTTGTACACATAACTGTGTGACGTTGGATCGATTGCGACCAGCCTCTCTTTAATCCACGACCTTTCTCTGTCGTGTTGAGGGAACATGAAGCCCGAGACTAGACGGACGTACCCAGGAACGCCTTCGTCCCCGGCTAAATCCGTGCAGCGCTCGACCATCGGCATCCATTGTGATAATCTTTTCGTTTGCGAGACAACAGACCAGACTTTGTCTAGAGGTGAATCAACTATCCCACAAACCGATCCACGCCATTTCCGGTTTCCGGTTTCAATGGCCTGCAAACAAGGTCTGAACTTTAATCATGTTAAGATATAAAATCGAAGGGTGAACAAAATACGACTCGTACCATACTACGGTGTTATTCAGATCTATGTATTGAGAGAAAATGTTGTATATGTGATGGACTACAATTCTAATGCTTATAATAGCTCACCCTTTGATTATGCCAATAAGACTATACAAATGGGGATAATTCCAAGGCTTAATTTCTTAGGAATTTCCATCTTTTCGGATTTAGTTGCATTGTTTAGATAGTTCGGTGTGATAATTATTCGAAAACCGGATGTTATTCGATCGATGTTAACCTATCGAGAACTCGAATCCGAAAGTCGAAGTTTCATCATAATTCAAGCATTTCATTTCATCCACATGAATAAGGTACAAGGAAAAGAAAATGTCTTGAAAAGGCAAACAAGTGAAACATTGTTTATTTAGGCAGTAGCTCCAACAGGGACCCCTGCACTGAGCCTCGACGATCCATATAGAGTTTCTTCGAACCGGATAATCTCGGCTTTCGAACCGTACGCGACTTGAGTCCTGTCGTCGAGGTTCGTGATCACTTTGTCGAGCACTGATTGTTGACCGTCGCTGCTGTAACCTTCGGCTTTCTCAATCAAGAACCCCAATGGTGCAACCTCAAACAACAATCTCAGCTTGGCCTTGGCAGATGGTGAGGCCACATTTGTGAATACACCCTTCTCTTTTACAATGATCTGTAGGGTAAAAATGAACAAATATTAAATTATTCAGGCTTAAAAAGGCAAGAATGGCCCTTGAACTTGATACATTGGTCAAATTAGTCCCTAAACTTTGTCAAGTTTGGTCAAATTGGCCCTGAACTTTTTACAGCAACTTGCAAGTTCATAGGTCAAATTGGCCCCGAAATAAGTTTAAGCTTATCAAGTTTAGGGGCCTATTTGACTACAGAAACATTTAGGAACCAATCTGACCAAACTTTCTAAGTTCAAGGGCTGTTTTGTATTGTAAGCCTTGACATGAAAATTAAAGGATACAGTAGAAGAAGCATGGGAGATACCTGGTTGACATCAGGTACCATTCCACCAGTGTACCTCAATGTGTACTTCTCTCTCACGTAATAGTTGATCAACTGTTTCATTAAAAAAAATTACGAAATTATGGACATATGAAAGCTTATATTACTCGAATTCGGGTGAGTTTCGAGTATAGATATGTGTCCGACTTCGGTATGCTTCATTTTTCCAGTTTTTCTACGTGTTTGAGAGTCAAATATCCATACTTAAGTTCAAATATGTGTCGGACACGAGTGTCGAATTCATATACTTTAAGGAAAATGAAGGGTCGGAAAGTTCGGTAGGTTCGAACCTTATCGTATTCGGGGTTGTCGAATGAGGCTCTCAAATTCCCAGGGGAGAACATCTTTCCTTCACCAATCTCGTAGGTGTCCTTCATATGCTGCCATTTTCCTGATTAATGCCCCATTGAAAAACATCATTTTTATATGATTGTAGAATTTGATGATAAATGTAACCTGCAAGTACCTTCATCAAGGAGGAGGAACTCATGGGTGCCCAGGACGTCCTTAAACGCGAGAACGTATGTCGTCCGAGGACCGAAAATTCCCATCGCGGCGGCAACTTGGTCCCGTCCTGTTACATCGGTTAATTTGTCACCAGGCCACACCCCGAAGATGGTACCTACGGTGAAGTTCGTATCGACAATGCTAGAGCAGTCGAGCGGGTCGAAAGCGACACTGAATCCACCTGTTGCATGTAGTGTGATACATTATGACCGCAGATTCAGGTTTCCTTGTACCACAAGAAACCGTGAAAAAGAAAAATTGCAGACCTTCAGCAGGGCCTCCCATGTCTTGAAGCTCGGGAACTTATTCGGAGCACGTGTATTTGCAGAAGTGCGAGTACGTCAAGGCCTAAACGTTATCGATCACGACCGTAAAAAAAAACCGTTAATTTCTCGAGAATTTCATCGAACACTCGGATAAAAGATAATCAATTTGAACCTCGAAAAGAAGCTTGTTGGCTAGCAAATCCACAGCAAGCTGTTCATCTCCAAATGAATTGACACAAGCTGTACCTCCACATGAAGCTGTCCTCACTTTGAAAGCAATGGTCCTCAATGCTTCTCCCATGCACATCATCAACCTCACCAGTCCCTTGTCCGATGTCGATTTCGTAAGAAACTCTTCCTAAAAAACCGATATCAAAATCGATTCAAAACTCAATATAGACAACATGGACAGATAAGTACTTTCAGCATGTTGAACATACCAGACTGTCTCCAATCTCACATTTTGTCACAAGGGGAGTGTTCTTTGCCTTTGAAACCTTCAATGATGATCTCGGAACAACACGAAGCCATTCGCCGAATATCGAGCTCGATAAGGCTCTGCAACACATACACCAGCATGAAATCAACTGAAATTAACTGCAATACGTATATATATATATATATGTATATAATTATGTACCCTTGAGATGAAAGAAGATATGGATGGAGGGGAGAGTAACTGCTTAGAGGAGACACTAGGAAGAACAATCCCACGAGCGTAGCACGTGATACCAGTCTCCATTGGTGAAAAGAAAAGGGTTTTCTCAAAGAGGAGAAGAAGATGATGAAGAAGAAGAAGATTGATATGGTTTGAGAGGCTTAAGTGGGATAGCAGATAAGGAGTTAACCGTGTTGTGACACGTGGCGGGGGAAGGGGTTAGGCTTTGGTGAGATTAGCATCTCACATTTGATGTGTGGGCAAGGTTCCTATGTTTTGTAAGATATGTGATTGTGTTCAAAGAATGTTGGCTTAAAGGGTTAGGCCTTTTGCAACTTGGAAACCCTATTTCTAATCCTTTAACCCAAAAAAAAATAAAGGATTAAGTACACAAATAGTCTTCTAATTATTAAAAATTATAAAATAATCATCAAACTATTTATTTATTTCAAACTCGTTCTTTTTTTAAAAAAAATTAATGATAACATAAGTTGGACGTTAATTTATTTATTGTAATATGATAAATTTTTATCCCAAAATCTTAAATCACTATCATATCTTTTTGGTTTATTGCAAAACGGTGAGTTTTGTTGAAAGGGTGTGAAATTTTTGACGGGGAGGATATAACGGGGGAATATAAAACCATTTTGTGGTTTATATCAAAACGGTGAGTTTTGTTGGAAGGGCTTAAAACTATAATTTCATTTGCTTAAAATGAAACGCTGCGTTTCACTTTTATAATTTCAGTGCAGTAAAACGATAATATGAGTGCCAAAACTTTGAAAGGGCATAACTTAGTCTACCGTCGTCCGATTGAGTTGATTTTTTTTTTTTGAATCCACGTATTTTTTCGAGATTTACGCAATCAACATATTATCATTCAGCTCAAATTGTTATTAATTTTTGAGTAAATTATAAAGTTGGTATCTGAATTTTACTCTATCTCATATTTCACTCATTGTACTTTAAATCTTTTCATTTTCTTCATTGAACTTAATACATTGAGTTTTTTTTGTCACTCAACCGTTTTCTCACTAACAGTGTTATAAATAAACTTTTATATATATTCAAAATGACGTCGTTTTGGTAAAAAGATTTATTATTTTAAAATGGCATCGTTTTAATGACGTTACTTATTTAATGACGAAGTGACTAAAAATACTCAATGAACCTTTTAAAATTTAGTAAGAAAATTGAAAATTTTTAAAGTTCAGTGAGTAAAACAAGAGAGAGAGTAAAGTTTAGTGGTGATATTTGTAATTTACCTTTTAAGATAAATAACAAAATAATAATAAAAATACCACGTCGTATTAAAATAATTTAAAATAAGTCAAAGTAACCAAAACATGAATAATTTGAAAGTTCAATGAGTAAAATTGGAAAATTAAAAATACAATGAATGAAACAGAAGAGAGAATAAAGCTTAACAAAGAAGGCTATCGGCGCTACGACGCTGTTCTTCACGGCGGCTTTCGCTTACGTGATGACGTATAGATATATGCCATGCATGTTCTAAATGTCGAGTGTTTTGACAATTAGTGATGGCAAATTCTGTGTAATGTAATGCATGAATGATGAATCCATCATACGATGACATAGTCATCATACATCCATGATTTCCAGCATATAAAGAGACCAACACCAACACAATAAACAATAAAAATGAGCAAAATTATGAGGTTTTTCTCATTAAAAAATCAATATTAGAAATGTTAGTAACAGATAAATCTGTAAAAGACCAATTCGACAACTTTTTTCTTTTTCCTGAGAATAAAAAACATAAAAATGAGACCAAATCAGTCGCTTATTCGAGTTTCCGAATGCTCGGCTAGTCCAGCAGCCGTAGCCGATAAAGAAGAAAACCCGGTTACCGGGATTTTCCGGGGAAATTTTGTTTCGTTTCTTGGCTTCGCCGTAGAGTATGACCCCGGAGACTGTGAGAGTATAGCCGAGCAATCCGGTGACAGAGATCGGATTTTTAAAAAATAAAATCGAAACCACCACAGCTACAGCTCCTTTTCCATTTCCTAGAACCTGCAAGAGCAGAAACCTCAGTATCTCAAAAAGCTTAAAATTATGGCAAGTTCGAATATCGGAACCGGTCATACTAAAACAAAGGAATGTGTGCATGGAATTACCGGCGACAGCCATTCATATGCAAAGTTCATACCTGCAACGTGAGGGCACTGGTGTGTTTCGTGACCAAAAAGTTGGTCAAATTCACGAAGTACGCAAGCGCTGAATTGAATATTAGATACCAAACGATATTGACGTCATCTCTGGCAAGGGCAACGGTGGTACCGACCACATTTTCTTCCATAATGAGCGTTGCCGGGAGTAGAAATACAACAGCTATGGGAGCCATGAAAAGAAGGAGGTTCATGGAATTCACCTTCTCGCAAAAATAAATTACGAGAACTTTTCAGCGCTCGTGTCTAATCTCTAAACTTCACGTAAATATATATTTTATGCCATTGACCGCAACGCAGAAGCAAAGGCATAAAAAATTTGCTCACCCTTCGAAAGAAAGTAAAATTCCCCACTGGCAATGATGACCCCAGTGACAACTGGGATAAGGGTAACATAAGTAAGCCAAGCCTCCCTCTTCAACGTCATCAAGTAAGCGAAGACCGCCGTGAAGAACGGCGTCGTAGCGCCGATGGCCTGGTTAAAACTCACGAGAAGGAACCTCAAAGAGATGTTCCCAAACACCACCGACACGCAAAAGACCAGGCTCGGGGTTGAGATCTTCAGGAATTGAATCCGGGATCGAATCGTCTGCATGGGGACCATCTTCATCCATGCAATCACGATGTAGCTCAACAAAGAACAAGCCGTCAAGTGACACATGGTCAAGAAGATTGGATACTTGAAGCCGTAATTGCTCAGCAAATATTTGTTCAACAACAAGACTCCAATGTTCGATGAGTACCAAGATGTCACCAGCCCGATCGTGAAGAATCTCGAATTTGTTTTCATTTTTCTAATGCTTTGAGGATATATGTTTCCAAACTATGATCCAATTAATCTTTAAATTATGAGTCTCCTTTTAAATTAATCTCCAAACTTCTGAACATTCCAAATTCATCCCTAAACTTTTAAATGTTCTAATCTTATCTTTGAACTTTTGAATGATTTAAGGGGACATTATTAAAATATTCAAAAGTTTCAGGATCAAATTAGAACGAGAGTCATAATTTAAGAATAAATTTGGAATGCTTAAAAATTTTGAGGATCAATATAGAATATGAGTCACAATATAGAGATGAAATTAAAATATTAAAAAAAGTAGGGTCCAATTTAGAATGAGGGTCAAAATTTGAGGATATATGATAGAATTAACCCTTATTTTTAAAAACGATATTTAATTATTTTCGTCTCAAGCAAATTCAAGTTTAAATCTCGATTTCTATTTTTTTTATTTCAAGTATTAATTTAAAAATAATTATCATATTCATATATAATAAATCTCTTACTAATGATCAGTTAGTCTAGTGGGATGACGCATAAGGTCCCTCCCTTAAACAAGGTCAGGAGTTCGAATCCTAATGTTTGCGAATGGAACAAACTAGGTTGGGAAGGTCATCCTCGCCTCTGCAGTACCCGATCTTGATTAGTCAGTCGGTCAATAAATCAGATATCAGAGATTAATTAAAAAATAAATCTCTTTTTTTTTTTGTTAACTTCTTTATGGATTTGCTTGAAGGTTCAATGTTAATAAGAGGAAAGTGTAGGGAAAAAGGAAAGCTAATTTTGACTTTTAAATATTTGAGATTTTTTTTTAAATAAAATAAAATGGTGTTGTGATTTTATATGGAAAGAAAAATAATTTTAATGAATTATCCTAAAATATGTATTTATTTTTCATTATATTTGTGATGTAATTATTAAATGAAACATGTTTAGTACATGAAAAAACAATAAATGAAATTGCCAATTAATATATATGTAATTATTAATTAATTAATCTTTAAAGAAAATGCTTTCATATACAAAGATTCATAATAATTTAGGGTAAAATACACAAATAATCCTCAATTTATAAAATATTAATTTTGTCGAGTCTCTCAACTATTAAAAATTACAAAATAATCCTTCAACTATAAGACATTATTTTGTTAATTCTTCCAACTATTAAAAATTACAAAACAATCACTTAATTACTCGTATATTATTTTTCCATAACTATATTAACATTCATCTGATAACTAAGATATGATAAAATCTAATCTCAAAATCGTTTAATTTATACTTTATGGACCAACTCTTTGTTTACATTATATTATCAACCTAATGCTTAAAACATTATGTCATCAATCCAATGTTTAAAAACAACGATAGGATTAATAAACATCATTAAAATATTATTCTATTATTTCTCAATCAGCAGATTAACATAAAACTCATAGATATATGTACTTTTACCCAAAAAATGAAATATATGAATAGTGAAATGACAATTTTATAACTTTTAATAGTCAAAGACCATTTTGTAACTTTTAAAAGCATAAGGACTCAACAAAACATCACCTTATACTCAAGGGCCATTTATTACACCCTATAATCAAGGCCATTTATGTACATGCATGCTTTATGCAAAGATGTAACTCACTTGAATTAGAAGTATATAACAATTATGTTGTAAACTTCTAAATTATCATCTTCATATTGATATTGTCAAACATTTTTTTAGCTTGCAATTTCAAAAATTTTCTTGAAAAACTCCAACTAGACTTGACCATCGATCGAACTACCATGAATCGGACCTTGAACGAATGTATCGGGGCTAATACGAACAGGTCGAAAACATAATTATCCGAAAGCTAACAAATTTGCTATTCAGTTCCATGAATAATTGATTAACCAAAACTTCAAAGTAAATAAGCAAAAATGTCTAAAAATCCGAGATAGAAGAAGTATTCAGGCAAAAGCAGAGTTCCATCTACCGTCGTAAAGAGACGAAGCAACACACAGCATTTTGACAAAGTTCGGGAAGGCGAGAGTCACTCGGATCATCAACCGAATGGCGTCAAGCATCTAGAGAGAACAGCAGAGAGAAAAAAGAGTATAACATTAGGGAGCTTGGACAAATTGTTCCAGTTTGACAACGGAAAAGATTAGCAATTAGTTTTCTTAATGTTTTCACAAGCGGGGGAAGCATAATATCACTAAAACAAGGCCTAAATAAGCTTATAGCAGCAATCAGGAACACAAGAACACGGAAACGGAGAAAACCTACAACAGCTGGGAAAATTAGTAAAGCAGCTTATACCGTTCGGTTAAATGTTAACGTGAATCATTATTGATGCTGTCATTCCTCGCATACAAATCAAATAAACCGAGAGATTAACTAAGAAAGATCATAAATTGGGTAGTCAACATTACCTCAAATGTTGCTGGGGTACATGAAGACTCTAACTCTATCTCCCTGCAAAGGAACCGAGAGATACGTGTAAGACTAAGAGCACAGTGTACATAATCCCGCTAATCAACAACGATATAACTCACTTACCATAGATTTGGGGGGAAGGTTAGACTTGAACTTAGCTCGAACAACACCGCTGTTACCATGAGGCCTGGCTACCTTGCCCCAAATGCAGCGATAGTGTGAACCATTCTTCTTCACCTTGGCCTTGTAGATATAGGCCATTCGCTTGCCGGCATACCAAGCGACTTCCTCCTTGGTGTTAACTCCCTCGATCTGGATCAGTGAAGTGTTCGGGTACTGGTTTGACTTCGACCTAACACCCACCAGAACCAAACGAATCATAAGCACCAGTTCAAAATTCAATGACACCCTTTGTTCTGGTACTTTAACAGAATACGTTCATAATTTTGTTTAGAAAAAAAAATTAATTTAAGTCCCCCAACACAACCTAGAAATTCAATCACACCCTTTGTTCGAGTACTTTCACAGAACACATTCATAATTTAGTTTACAAAACAAATTACTTTCAGTCCCCCAAAAACCTAGAAATTCAATCACACCCTTTGTTCCAATACACTAATTCTAGCCCAGAAAGCTAAAAATTTTCTTTTACAAAAAGATTAAATCAAGCTCATTTTACACAAATATTTATTAAATATTCAATTTTACTTGAAAAAACGGTACTTGAAGTAATACAAAAAAGTTTTAAGCTTTCATTACCTCTTGTAACCCAAGATAGTTCCTCTTACATAGAGCCTGCAAATAATGAGTAAAAAACAATTAAAATTAACTGAAAACGAAAATGGAAAACAGTAACTAAATCTATAAACTGAAATTCCATTCCATGTGCTCAAAATGGGGAAATGAAAAGGAAAATAAGGGTTTTAAAAGGGCTAATGGAAAGATCAAAACAGACCTGACTCGCTCTCCTTGGCGTCCCTTCACCATTTTCGGAAGCAGAAGCTTTTCTTTTCAGTCCTTTGGATTCTGATAGAGGTGGCTGCGAGGCGGATACCTAAAACCCTCATTATATAAGTGCTAAAGATTTGGGGAATTTATATAAGGTGTCTGAAATTTATTTAAGTAAGCCCAATTGATATGTGCCTATGGATTTGGGCCTTAGCATTTTGGGCATTGTTCTTAGGGAAACTATACAAACAATTACTAAAGTTTAGATAATTTTTTGGGTAATTACGCATTTGGTATCTAACTATCAGTTTTGATCTTTTTAATATATGAATTTTTAATTTTTTTTAAAAATCATATCTGATATTTAATTTTTATTTTTATTTTAGTATCTTACCGTTAAAAAATTAACACGCTTAGTACCTAAACTATCAGTTTTGATCTGTTTTAGTACCTAAACATTCAATTTTTTTTCAAAACTTAAAGTTAAATTTTGAACAAGGTATTAAATGAAACAAAAACTAATTTTTTTAACGGATGGGTACTAAAATGAACAATAACTAAACTTTACGTATATTTTTTAAAAAAATTAGGTACTAAAACGGATCAAAACTGATAGTTTAGATACTGAATGCGTAATTTACCCAAAATTGTTTTCACCACTAAAGTTCGAGAAATTACAGAATAATAGCTAATTTTTTTATTTATAACAAAACGATCACCTCAATTGTTAACCTTTAGTTACCCTCGCAAACGTCTGACATGGCACGTTATAATAGTTAATAGATTTCATTTCTGTTGATGATTTTGGTTATTCGGGTTGGACTTTAGCTTTTGTTAGTCCTTATGTGATTTCGAATTGAAAAATTTTACGAGCAACTCGAAAAGATAATATACTAAAATTTTAGATTTTTTAAATTAAATTGTTAATAAAATTAACATTTATACATCATTTTATATAAAAAATACAACATAAAACTTCCATGTATTTAAGGTTTGAATTCTAATTCGAGATGTCAATTTTTTATTTCAAATGACGCTCGAAAATTTTAAGCTCGCGAAATTTCAAATCGACTCGAGTTTAGTTTTAAAATATACAAGTCGAGTTGAGCTCAGCAATTCAAGCTAAACCTATCGAGTCAAACAAGTAATTCGACTCGTAATCGGATCTAGTTTATATGCTAAATGTGTTTCGAAAACTTTAAAGAATATATCTCCATATGCGTCGAAGTATACAAATGAAAAGAGAAAAATACTCGAGTCGCTCCCAACAAAAGAAAAATGGTAACAAGTACAATTTTGTTCAGTTATACCAGTCAAGAAACAAGATTGAAAAGGTGAGGACGAGGAAAAATAGCACGAGAAACGTCCGGCTGCCGCTATTCCGCTGGATCGCTTGAGAAAGTTCTTTGTTACCGAGCTCTACATTTTTTGTCGCTTCAACCGCCTGCGGTAAGACCAAAAAAAATGACGGTCCCGATTTCGAGGTTGCGTTAAAAGAGGGGGGAAATGGAAAACCAATGCTTAGGGATGAACAAAATAAAGCTAAACACCTCATACCGAAATGTTTTGATTCAATTACCGTAATGAAACTGTATATATCCCTATAGATGTTTCTTACCTTATGTGGAACAACTCAGGTATTTACAATCACCCATGAAGGAAATCCAGTTTACACAATCGAACTAACTCGAATCAGTTTCATAAATGAGCTCTATGTAATAATGGATTAATAACGAAAAAGAGGAAAACAGATGGTTCGTGTGATGCAGTAACATTAGTGAAAGATATATGCAGTGCAAAGAGAAGGTGAACGTCGAGGGGAATGTTTTGCACCTGATCATAAAGATGTTCTATTTGTTGAGCCTGTTGCAGAACATGTGTGGACATTAGGTGATTCAGAGCAGACATCTCCACCATTTTAGTTTCAGTTTGTTGAGCGGCATCTAGAAGACTACTCAACTCCATCTAAATAATAAGTAGAGCAATTAACATCTCATTTCAGAAAACGAATTACATAAGGACGTGATAGAAAAGGCCATATGAATCCGAACTCCGAATGGATTGGTGAAGGTACCATGGCAAAGATAGGTCAGCTCTCTATACCTAAACATTAATTCATATCCTGGCTAGCCAAAGTGGATAGACTTCCCACTAGGAGTAGGCCTCCTGGGGTTATCAAAATATTACTGATTGTGTCTTGTGTGGTCAAGCATTGAAAACCATAATTCATCTTTTCGTTACATGCTCGTATTCTAAGTTGCTATGGGAAGAAATATTAAATGCTTGTGGCTGCAATGCTGTTCACTATACTCGGCAGGATAAAATTCAATGGTTAGTGGCAAACTGCAGGGACAAAACTTAAGGCTTTGCTCGGTATGAAGGACGGATAATTTGTTAATCAAATGGTTAAGATTCATAAGTTTTTACCTGAAGGGCACGGGTTTCATCATCCAGTAATTCCTGTTTGACTCTAAGAGATTCGTGTTGAATATCCTTGGTATCTGTGGGCTCCATGTTGTATGGTTTAGAGGCATCTGCAGAATTTGAATTAACAGACTTCTTAAGTTTCCTTCTTGGCATTGCTCTATTGATAGCATCTTGGAAACGAACGGCTCTCATCTGATCGAACTGTGCAGTGACTGAGTGAAGTTTCTCACTTATAATTAGTACCTGAGTGTCAAGGAAAACCATAGATGCACTTTCAGCAAGCTAACTATACCACTAGCTGTTTTTCTTAGAGGAAGAAAACAGTACATTTGAAGAAATAAAAAGCTATTGAATGAAGAAATGCCGAGGACATAATATATTACTACAAAGGAAATTGAAATTATTGTGTAAAACGTGAAAAGAAAAAGTATAAAGGACTTTTGAATCTTCATAAGATCATGTAGCTCCAATAAAAAGGAAGGAGACAAACTAGAGCTATTAACCCCAGGAGGTGAGCAAGATTAACAGTGTAATCGATCAAATTAAGCTAGATAGATGTAGAAAACAGACAAAGTCTCAACCAATTTCTCTCAATAAACAGGAAGAATTTAAACATACCACTCCATGTTTGTGCGCAATGGTATCAACATTTGAGGTATCCCTAATTCCCAGCCACCCCTTCGAGCTTGCCTCTTCATCATTTATACAATTTTTGAGGATATCAATTTGGTCTTTGCAAGCTTTAACAAAAGCAGTAACCTGCATCAAATTTTGACTTACAACATTGGATGCAAAGAATCTAATACTCACAATCATGAACTTAATTAATTGACAATAAAACCATTTTCTGGTGAATCAAAGCAACAACGAACCAAATGCAATCAAACACTCTATTGGGAACTAATAACTGCCATAAACTCTATAATCTATCGGTTCCATGTGACTTGCAGAGCAGAAAAGCGAAATGCACATATACTCAATCATCAAAATCTGCACCCCACCATTTGGCACAATTTGATCAAGAAAAATAACACCAAATAACAAAAACTGCTAAAAATTCTTCACACTTTAAATGCATATCGGCAAAATAATTATAACACATTAAAATGCATTACTACCTTTGAGCTAGATCAGTAGAAATTAAAACTTAAGTCCACATAGCTTTAAAGTACAAACTCACAATCCAACCACATGTCACACTTGACCCGATAATGAAGAGAGATCGCACAAGTGTTCGTCGTTAGACAATTCGCGCAATCAGAACACAAAAAAACTTCCAAAATGTTACTGATTAAAGTAAGAACAGCTGAATTTTACTCAGTAAAGAACAGGCATAATAGTACATGAAACTAAAACATGCAACATTACTTCATGTTCAATGCTGTCCCTTTCTTGCTCCGTTGTTCTATGACGATCAACGTAATCCTTACGGTGCTTTGGCAAGAACTGATCCAAAGCTTCAATACTCTCCAGCTAATTAAACAAAAAATATGAAGAAAAAAAAACTCAAAATTCCATGCCATAAAAGAACAAAAACGAGAATGTGGAAATGTTTTCCAAACTTTACCGTTTTCAGTGCAGATTTAGTAAAAGGCGACGTTTGCCGCGGTTTATGGATTATGAACGACGCCATTATCGCTGCCAATTTAGCCTGTCAACACCAAAAAAAAATTCCAAATCAAATGAAATTTGAAATTAAAGAGAAATTGTAAAACTAATTAAACAATGAGCAGATTCAAAATTACTATAATTTTTACACGAAATAAAGGAAACAAAATTGTTTACCTCGTTGAAACCCGATGAAATCGCAGACTGCCGCACAGCATCTTTGAAATCTTCAGTTCGATCTCTGATTCTCGACATGTTTTGCAATTTTCAACTGCTTTTTTTTCCTCTCGAATTTCGCTGAGATTTTAGGGTTTTCTTTTCAAAAACAAAAGCGATTTAAATTACTTTTATTCAGTTGAATTGGAATCTAGAACTCAAAAGAGAAGATCCAAAGGGAAAACAAAGGAGCGAAACGTGAGGAAAATTATAAACGGAAATAAAAGAAAGTGAGAGAGGTAACTTTGTCATTTCACTTTTGAAATACAATACGACGTCGTGTCGTGTGAAGAAAATAGTAGCAATTTGTATAGATGCCACCTGCCTAGTGCTGTTAATTTAATCCGAAATCGATAGGTTTCGATCTGATCTAAATCAAAAGGGTTAGTTATTTTGAAAAAAAATCGAATTTGAGTCGGGCTGGATTGATTTTCTAAGGGAATAAGATCGGGTCTAGCTCAAGTAAAGAGTAAAAAAACTTTGACCCTACTCAACTAGATCCAGAGAAAATAATATAATTTTCTTTAAAAAATATTATTATTTAAATAAATTTTTATTTTATATCGGGTCAAATTTATAATTTGAATTTTCCATCCATGTCAGAGTCAGGTGAATAATATATATTTTTTCAAATCAGAATCGAATGGAATATATATACTTTTCGGGTCGGAATTGTGTTCAGGCAAAGGATACATATTTATACTCTAAAAACTCGTTGGCATCCCATCTGTTTGGGTCGGTAGATCCGTTTTGTTTGGTAAGATTCGGATGTAGATAAAATATTATATATTCTGGATTTATTTAATTCAGATTGAATTTAATTAATAATTTTTTATTTAATTTTTTTTTTCTAAAAAATATAAATTTTAAATTTTAAAAATAAATATTTAAATTATATTTAAATATATAATATTATACATGAATTTTGATCTTATCAATTATACACATGAAAATTTGATGTTAATTTATTTGCACACATAAAATTTTGATTTTGATTTAACTATACATATTAAAAAAAGTATTCATTTATTTTCATATTAAATAAATATGGAGTATAAATGTAAAATAATATTTAGTATTAATCTTATTTTTTTTCTTTTTCATTTAATTCCACTCAAATACCACTTAAATAAATTATAAAAAAACAAGCTTTTTTTTCACCATTATTTATAAACACACTTTATAGTGTAAAACTACTACTACCAATACTATACCAACTCTTATTCAACACCTAGCTGAATCAGAGGTTCCAAGTTAAAAGAATACAACTACTCGAAATGAAAAGAATCACTCGAGACGAATCTCCGACGTCTCAAAGAGTTCGAATTCTAACGTATGCAACCGCGTCATCTTCATCTATTCTTCACCGACGAGTACAACTACTCACACGTCAGCGAATATATGATACTCCTTGGAATCCACGGCAATGAGCCTTATACCGGCGATCGTTGCCGCAAGAGACATGAGACCGAAGAAACCGACATTGACCCAATGCCAGAACCGTTGCAAGGAACTCAGTTTGTTCTGCTTCGTCTTCGCCACGAGGTACATGTGGTTCGCGAGGATGAACGTCAGGGGGAACGTGCTCAATGCCCCAGTGAGGGTCTCGAAATCACCGAGGAAAGGCATGAGAGCCGACACCAGCGTACTTGCCACAAGGTAGCTGCCTCTCGCTACGATTCTGAAGGCTGTGTTTTCAGTTTCCGTGAACCCCGAACTTTGTGTCCAAATACTCGTAAGCCGGACTTGCGAATATCTGCGGCGGTGAGGAAGCTGATAAGGGTTCGTCGAGGCGTTTTCCAAAAACAGGAAATACAAATAAGAACACTTACATGCAAAGCAATAACCGATTGCAGGAAGGCGGACAGGTTTGCAGCTGCCTTCACCCAAACCGGGCCGCTGGTACCGTTAAGTAAATATGTAGGCGTCGAAGACCCGTAAGCCCAGTAGCCGATAAAAGTAACGGCATACATCGGTACAACTCCAAAAGAGAACTGAAAGTACAAAGCTTTCAGCATATTCCTCACTGCAGGTTGCCTCGCCGTTGCCTGTATTTCAGGAAGCATTCCTGTATTGAATGCAAAAACGAGATTCGCAGATGCCCCTATGGTCGTAAAAATTCTGTCGGTGATCGATTTCCAGTGTATGGTATAATCTCGGGGCGGCGCATTCAATCCTATAACAGCATGAGAATCATTAACGCCATAAAATGAAGATTAAAAGCTTCTTATGGTATTTTGGTCTACTCAAAAGATTGATTAGAGTGCAGCATTCGATCCTAAGTCATAAAAGTGATTCATTTCGAGGTTAACCGTTAACTATTTCCGTCGACGATTCAATTATCACTTCAGAGTGCCTACAATAACTTTCAAGGCAATGTTCGAACTTACCGTCATTAGTTGCCAGCACGCACGCCACGACGATATATATCAAGCTGAGAACAGTCGAACATCCTAACCATATTCTCAGTGATGACAGATGGGGTGTCGAAACAGCAAACAGAATACACGCGAGTCCTTCGATGGCAATAAAGTGCGGAAGCTTCATGGTATGCTCTTCGTTGAAAAGGACATAACAAGCCTGCATCGCATATACGTATGTTACAGATTCCCGAGCTGCAAACTATATTCAAATCGTCTTCCGGATATTCAACAAGTTAACATCCGGATCGGATCTTACCATTAAAGCGGAACCACCCAAAATGAGATATCCGAGGTTGATCATGAACAGATTGACATATTGCAACGCCATGTAATGTAATAAGCTTCCCTGCCTGATGAAAACAATAAGCTATTCAAACAACAATCGAAATAGATAACGGAGAACATCAAACGTTAATTAGGCAACTCGTACCGTAGATTTGAGCTGCGAGTTCTCGGTATCGGATATGCCTCTTTCCCTCGAATTCATGGAGCTTGGCAACAAGCATATTCGCGTGCAGCGATATCGCGGTGGCTAGAAGCAACCCGACTACACCTCCGACCCAGCCGAGAGGGACCATGATGGTCCCGGAATATCCCAAGACAAATACACTGTTGATACCAGTGGTCAAGACAAAACCTGCCTGGAACCATGAATCTGGAAAGCCACACCAAAAGGTCAAACCGGAAACCGGAGCCTATCAGATCAAAACTCACACAGGAGGCTTATTACAAGCAGAATGTACCGAACAAATTTATAAAATTTTAAAAGATAAAAATATAATTTTTAAATTTTAAAAATATATTATCGATGAAAATTATAAAATAAAATTTTTAAATTTTTGAGAATTCATAATTTTCAGGGCGCCAACTCCCTTCGGTCCAACCTAAATTACCAAAAAAAAGAGACCAATAACACATAGCCCTTATATAAGGGTAGCAGCGGCGGCTGAAACCGTTATTATTGAAAGTTATGATATAAATTAGATTCACACCAATAACGATGAATCGTGATCGTAGCTAACTGATAGCGATTAATTGCAACGATAACGACATCTATTACGCTTATTGTTCAATTACGAAAAAATTAAGAAAAATCAACATTATGTTGAAATAATTAAAATTATTATAATCTACAATAAGTTGTGCAACAATTATAATAACATTTATGTCTACAACAACAATAATCGTAAAATTATCACAACCAAAGATTTAAATAGCATCCGTTATATACCCATAATCACTGTAATAGTATTTGGTACGTTGACGCAATCGAAAACACAATCGAAATCGTAATTTAAAGCATTGGAATCGAACAAAACATGCGATCCAAGTCCATACAAAGGCATTAATAGAAGCAAAATCGCAGAATTAAACAAAGCGTTGCAATCAAATCAAACAAAAACCCAGAATTAGAAATTCACCGGTGCTTATCTGATGAGCAGTTTCAGGGACTTTAACAGTCAACTTATCATCCTCGGGTTCATCTCTGCTTTCTTCCACCATGTTTGGCTCTTCTTTCCCTTCCTCGGCGAAGAGCCAAACAGTCTGCTCTTGTTGGTCGCCGTGTTTATCTTCTTCCGCAAATATATCTATGAACGCCAGGGTTGCTGATTGGGGATTAAACCTTCTTCTTATTCTTTATTTCTTGTATATCGACGTCAAATTTAGCACAGTCAATGAGAGAAATCGATACCCGGTAATGGAAAATTTCTGGATTTTGGCAAATGATCAAAGCGAAGTGAAATCTGGGTTTCTTTTCCTTTTTGTTAAAGAATTCATTCTTGTTGTTTGGTGAAGGAAAGTAATGGCTCAGTAACTGATCTCCCTCTGCTTCTCTTCTTTAAGCACGCATATCCTCAAATATATATATATATACACACACACACGCACACGTATATAGAATCCAAAAATGAAAAGCGTAAACTACACATTTAGTATCCCAACTACCTCATTTGTTATGTTTTGATCACTAACTATTTTTTTAAAAATCATACCTAACGTTATATTTTTGTTTTATTTTAGTCACCCACCGTTAAAAATGGATCATATCATAAATAAGTACCTAAAATATATCATTTTTACATTTAGTTACCTAAAGTATCTTTTTGTCAAAGTAAATACCTAAAGTTATCTTATTGGTCAAATAGTTACCTAAATTATTCAAACTTTTTTCATCTAAGTTCTAAAAAAGTTGACATATAATATTAATTAAAGAGTACTTTATGTACTTAGATGAAAAAGTTGAATAATGTAAGTACCTATTTTTACAAAAAAATACTTTAGGTACCTATTTTGACCAAAAAGATAACTTTAGATACTTATTTTGACAAAAAATACTTTAGGTACTTAAATGTAAAAGATGATATATTTTAAGTACTTATTTGTTATATAAACCTTAAAAACTAACAGAACTATTGGCGTGGTATTTTTTATTTTATTCAATGATGATTTGGTATTATATAGTGACACGTCGATATCATTGTTAATTTTTTAACAACATATAACCAAAATGAAACTAAAATTAAATATTAAATATGATTTTGAAAAAAAAAATAATTGAACGACATAATGACATATGATCATTATATGTATTAAACTATTACAAAAAACCATTGTAATCATGGGCGAACATATGATTTTAGGTTAGGTGTGATGAATTTTATTTAAACGTGATAAACTTATAAAATTTTTAGGATGGATGAAAATAGATTATCAATAAAAAATAAAAATAAAATATTTAAAATAT